AAAAAGAATCGTCTGCGACGTGTCCGATCGGATACGAAAGAGCCGAAGACATCTTCAGCATCAGATGGAAATGTAGCGAGTTCGCAAATAGTGATGCCATCGAACGCAGTCGCCATCATGCCATCATCGTCCTCAACCGCATTGCCAAGCAGCTCCAGTTCGGATTCGAACATCACCCGAAAAATCATCAAAAAACAACGAACTGACCCGAACCATCGGAAGTCGATTAGCTCTCCTGTGCCGTCATATTCATAGCGTTGGAGTTGTTGAATTCTTTTCGACTAAGTGTTCATGACAATGGTTTCCAGCGAATATTGTGCGTTTGGTTGAGGGTGGTTGCTTGTGTTCCTTGGATGTATGTTGGAAAATCGCATAGTCAGCTAGCTGGATTTAATCATGATCAACCATTGCTGTTTGATCGAAACCAGCACGTTCGGGATTCGTTGATGATTTGCGACGCAACGATTCCGTCTTCTTTCCACATTTCATGACAATTTTCATTCCAAAAAAAATCAGTATAACGTTATTCCAAATAGGAAAATAAGAATTCAAAAAATTGAACATACATTTTTTTGCGGATCATAGGCTTTCATAGTCGTTTGTTTTTGAAGGTTGACCTTGAAATCTACACCTTTTCGAAAAATCTACGGTNCCCATGGTTACAGAGGGTTACAGTTATTTGCATGCTTGTATACTTTTCTGTTAATTTCACCTTTTTGTTATCATATCTTCATAGCGAACAAATGATTTTGTTAACGTTGTATTGTGCATTTGATACAATCTGTGAACGATAACGCATGCTGATAATAGGTTGTTCCGTTCGATTGTTTTGTTGGGTTTTTAAGTTCAATTCAAAAAAAATGATCGTATTCTTTTCGTGTATTTTGTAATCTCATTTGATCGTTTTATGTATATAAAAGAAATGTTTCGTTCAAATTCTCTTTCTCTTCAATCACGAAAAACGAAACATTTTGATGCTTTTTTTGAAGAAGAAGCTGGAGCACGAAGAAGTTTCGAATTTTAATGCTGGTCAATAACGCTATATTAATTGTGCTCATTCTTTTCCTGATTCATTCATCCATTCATGATAATGTAAATTATTCGTTTTTTGTCCTCTTATAATAAAATATTCTGTTTACGCCACATCCCTGTTGGAGTTTATCACCAACACTTCAATGGTTTTTCAGGGAGGCTGTATTTGAAGTGAAAATTCAGATAATAAGCATCTTCGATTCCAACGATCAGTTATCGTAGTACTCTGATCGAACGCATTCATAGTGAAGAATTGAGCGAGAAGCGACATATTAGTTGCGCACTCCCGTACTTTTTGAGTTTTACATGTAGTTTTTTTTGTAAGTGACCCACAAAGTCCAGAAATGACCAGAACGGGTAAATTTAATGTACCGAAGATTTTCCGGACTTCGCTGACTGTTTGCAAACAAAAGCTGTGCAAAGCAAATCAACAAAGAGGTTCCAGTCCGGATTCCGCGTATAAAACCCTCGAGAAAATGTGATATTGTTATTGTTGCAGCATTTTTTTTTTGTAGTGTTATTGCCATCGGGCACAAACAATTTTCGAATTTCAGTGCTGGTCAATAACAATATATTAGTCAGATGATAAGTAGTCAGATATTAGTAGTCAGTAGTATTAGTCATTCAACGTTAGCCAGATATTAGTCAGATAGTTGCGCTCATTTATTTTCATCACCGGTGTGAAGGTACATCTGGAAAGATCGACTCAAATTCCGGACATCGGACGAAACCGTTTCGCGACCGTCCCTCTCGAAAAATCCTGGACACACCACTGCTATCACACATTATAAAGTGCAAGAAGGATCCCATAATACAACACAATGATGCCATAACCAATGGAATGTTGTCATCATTAACATGAACCGACTTCCGCAGTTTCTTTTGCACTGTGAAAAACGCTCATACAAAAATGTTTTCAGTGTGAATTGGAATATTACTGTCAATAGACTGAATGCGAATGGCTCATAAATAAATAAAACGAACTGATAAGAAGTGAAGAATGAAGCACTGATAACTTTATGTAGTGGTATAACAGTAGTAGTGAAAGTTATCAGTATGATGCGTCGTTCAGCATTCACCTTGTTTGTGACCATTTATTTCATTCAAGGTTTGAAGTTTAAATTGCTTTTTAATNATGTAGTGGTATAACAGCAGTGGTGAAAGTTATCAGTATGATGCGTCGTTCAGCATTCACCTTGTTTGTGACCATTTATTTCATTCAAGGTTTGAAGTTTAAATTGCTTTTTAATGAAATGTTTACTCCATTAATCGATCAGTTTCGATGACTTTCAATGAAACCAATGAAACCAAGTTTGAAAAATAAACATTGAGAGCCTAGTATTGCTTTTACCATGATTTTGGTTCATATTCAAAATTAATGAATCAATTTTCTGATGAGATAAAAACTGAGCTGTCAGATTCATATCTAAAAAACAATACCATCGGATTTTCTCTAAATTTACTTCTTGCCGATGTGATATTGAATAGAGCAAAACGTAAGCATTCACTCGTATCATGTGAATGCAATTTAATAAGCTCAATAACGAGTGCGTATGTAATGTGCTTTTAGTATGTAACGCAATCAACTGCTATACATGCTCTGATGAGACATGCCCAACTCCGGAGCACTGGGTTATCGAGAGGTGTTCACCTGAATCAACGTTCTGCTATAAATTCAAAAACAACGATCACAGAGGTGAGTGAAATGTTCTATGGTATGAATCGCAATTCAAACAGCTATGGTTCGACTGCCTAAAGCCTGAATGACTGTTCGTGTTCATCTTATTCCTCAATCCTTCTCAATTCATCGCATACGAACAATCAACTGCATTTTTTCAATCGAACCAACTGGATGATAGTGCACCAGACAAACCGTGGAAGATGTTCACCATCCATAAACGTAAAAACTCCACTATCAGTTATACACTGATAAGCAAAAATGTTTATGAATAAAAATCTGGTGACAGTGATTCATAGTCACATACTGATGTTATGAAATTGAACAAAAACAGATCAGCGAATCAATTTGCAGTGTACGCATTGGGATGTTCAACACACGAACGATGCCATGATATTGGTGGCTACGTGAAAAATACTGAGTGCAACACATGCGATTCGGATGCATGCAACGGTCATCGATTGTACCATACTATACCTCCAAGCGGAAGTGCTTCGTCGATTGGATCGATCTTCACGACTCTGTTTATTCTCATCGTCAATCTGATTGTATTCAAGTGAAGCAAAAACCGTTTGGTTCATAACAATGTTCGCTTGTTTGATTTTGTGATATCAATGTTTTATTTATTTGTGAAACTTTGTGAACACTTTGAACACACCTCGGTGATTGAGTTTCAAAATCAGCAATAACAGTTACATTTATGTTCTCAAAACTCATAACTTATTCCTAGAATGAGCTAAACTGAATAGGAGATATGTAATCGAGACGTTCAGTGAAGATTTCATGGTGCTTGTTGACCATCCACCTCAACTTCAAATATCACTCTTTTGGAAGCGAAATATTACCACACCAACCGATTATCGGATAAAAACATGGTGCAACTCGTTTGAGTGCGGAGTTTAGGTGACCATATCTGTTATACGGACAAGTTTATCGAAAACTTAAACATAAGGAACGATTGTGATATAAGAAAAACGAAAGTCAAATTATTTGGCCACTGGCTGATTAGATTACAAAAAATATTCTACAAAATTCATTAATTACTTGATGAAATTGAATAAATGTAAAAGTTTAGCAATAGCGTGATGCACAAATATGCCATATTGTTCAATATATGCGACAAAATAATACAATAAAAGATGGGATCATACAGAAAGTTGATGCAATAATCAATTTGCATAATTATTTGTAGTCGTATCAAACGACGAGCTGAGAGATCATTTGACAATAAGATGGATAAGGTGAATGAAATTTCATGAAAGAAGGTAAATATCACATGTAAGAAGCAGTTTATGAAACGGAGGTATCCATCTGAGTAATATATTGCCAGAAGTAATAAACAGTAACACCAAATACTGAAGTAATAAAGCAGTGGACGAAATACAACGAAACTACATCTGCAAAAATATGGAATTGCAAAGGAGTCGATGCAAACTGAACGTACACATGTGCTTATAATTGCAAATATACAAATTACACCTATATAGAAGTGTTCATTTAACTCGAATCGAATATTCACGGCCACTGGATGAATAATGATTGATAGTAGAATGGATAATGATGGCTTGAATGCGTCCAACAAAAGGACAGGATTATGAGATGTGAATATAGGACACGGTGCAAACAATATATACAATAACCATGACAATTCATGTGTTACATGGTTTTTTCTACAATCAATGTACAGTAAGAAGTCAATTTTGCCAGAAATATTCAGTGGATCCACTTTTTCAAGATTTTCAGGAAGAGCGATCCGAACTTGCTAATTTTTCCAGAAATAGCAAATTCAAGCCAAAATTTTTGCATATTGGTTCGGGTAATTTACAGTTCTTTCCCATGTCTTCCTTCCATTGATGGTGATTTCATTCTTCTGGTGATGGTTATCTTTTCGCCGTTCCACGCACGATCGTCAATACGTTGTAAACGATAGAACAACGATATGAGGAAGGTGATATAGAATGCTGATATCATGAACGGTATGATGTGTTGTGTATGATATACGGAATCACTCCAATGACCCAAAACGTTCAGAACGACCATGCTCATTTGCATCTAAACAAATGTTGCATCAAGAGCAATATAAGCCGGACATTGTTATGATCATATTGAATGCTACGATCGCTTATGCTTATTACTGTCAATATTAAGCTATCATATATCAATACTACTACTGTGTGGATCCCATCATCGTACAGTAATTCAGACACGAATAAAGCCGCGAGGTTTCGATGAAAACCGAAACTGAAATCATTTCTATTATTCCACTAACTTATCAAGGTATCAATCGAGCAATTCAACGATTTTGAGTGATTTGCTGAAAGTATCGTAGATGAGATTGTCGTGAAGTCATACGCCTTTGAAGAATGCAAGGAGATTTGAAAGAAACGTTCCAGCAATCGGAATATGATCTCGCATCTGGCAATACCAAAGCGAATTAAATTTTGGAACGTACTTCTTGAAACTTTGGGAATAACG